AGCGGGTCTGCTTCGTGTTCTGAGCTGAGCCGTGATCGTTAAGGCTACGTGGTCCCCCCTGATCTGCTGGCACCAGCCCCCTTCGCAGCAGCATCCCTACAAGGGCTGGAGTGTGGCTAGCACCCACTCCCAAGGAGCATCCCGGCGTGGGGACACCACATCCCGGTGTGGGGACACCACCCAGGGCTACCGTGTCCCCAGCATGGGCTGCACGTGGGCTGGGCTGGTTTCCCACTTGTCATCTTATGTGCAAAGCAGGGGTCGGTATGCAGGAAGGCAAGCTGGTCTTGAAGTGCGGGGCTGGGTGTCCCAGTCAGACCAGAGCAACAGGTCGGGATGTGCCGGGCAGCCTGACACTACTGGTTTTCCACTTGACACCAAAGAGTAACCCCAAACTGCAGCAGATGAAGCCACTGAACAGAGATGTTGTGCACTTGAGCAGAGGAAGCGCAGCTTTATTTGGGTGTGCAAATACCTGCGAGGTGCAGAGGAGAAGCTGGGCGCAGCCCTACCCGGTTGCCTGCTGAATCACGGCTGCGTGGGCAGAGGGGTGAGGACAGAACCACATCCCTCCGACTGATAGCTCTGGGCCCATTGCATAGCCCCAGCAGCATAATTCCCCTCTTGCAAAGAGCACAGAGATTTACTTTCCTGTCCATCGCACACCATATCTCACCCAATGGGATGCTGTCTCCAGAGAAGTCATCATTGTAGCATCTGGGAAAGGAGCAAGGGGATGTTGACCCAAGGAGCTTCATTTTGGCCTCAAAACCACACTGGGTACCTGAAGACATGTGGCTTCACCCCAAGCTGGGAGACCTGGTGACATGAAGAGGTCTTCTATCACTTGCTTCTGTTCCCCCATCCCTAAAATAGTTACTGGCTCCTTACATTAGGCTGCGGACTTGAGGGTGAAGCCTTTGTGGGTGAAGCCTGCAAAGGCAAAATAGCTTAATTTAAAGGCTAATTATCATTAATCTCTTGCTAAAGGAAGCTTAAAAGCCAATTACACATGTTAATGTGCTTTGGGTAACAAGCAGCCCAAGGGTGTAATTAGAGCTGGGCTGTGGCGTGGATGCCCGGTTATTGGATGGTATTTCTGGCCAAGGCTGGGGCCATCAGCATCTGCTGGTGTCAGTAACGGCAGGTACGGGCAGCCAAAGCCAGGTTGGAGAAAAAAAAACCAAACTCTAAATTCCACTTGTTGTGGCAAAATGAGCAAAACCTGGTCGCTGTGGCATCGGCTCTGTAGATGGGTTCAGTAGAGAAGAACAATACGTGCTTCTACTATTTCAAGGTGATAAAGAAGGAGGTTTGATGCCTTTGTAGGTGGCAGCTGCCCCAGGTCAGACAGACAGACAGTGCTTAGACCGATGCTCCTTTACCAGGGAGACATCCCAGGGTGAGCTGCCCCAGTGCCCATCGTCATCCAGACGCACTTGTGGCTTGAGGTGATTTGGTCTGTCCTCACAAGGCCAGAGGAAACCCAGGGAGGCAGAGGGGAGCACACCAGCCCATGGCTTCAGGCTGCATATAGCATCCACCAGCCTCCGTCTGTCTGCTATGGACATTTCCTTCTCAAATCCAGAACTGTGAAGTCTTGGGCTTTTTTCTTTATCACAGACTCTGGCTTTCTCTCGCCAGCCCAGACACTGCTGCTAGAGGTGACAATTGTTCTGCTAGAAGTCAAGGGAAGAGTTAAGCCTGGTCAGCGTGACTGATTTTTCAGTGCAAGTTCCTCTTCCCATTTTGGGAATCGGGGGGGAAAAACCATTTCACCATTCGGTAAAACCCAGGCTGACCATCAGTATTGCCTTCAGCCCATCGTCCCCTGCTGAGCCCAGCCTGGGGCTCAGCCCTTTGGGGTTGTGGGTGCAGGGACCCGCTAAAGATGTGGGCACCCCAGCCTCTGCCCCATCTGCACCATGAGGTGGTTCCTAGCCCTGCCCTTGTCCTCTCTTCCAGATGTCCTTCTACTTCTCGGATACGGCGGTGCTGCTCTTTGACTTTTGGAGTGTCCACACCCCCACAGGTAGGCTGCCAGCCCCGAGACACCCATCTGTCCATCTGTCTGTCTGCTGTCAGCTGTGCTCTCCACCCAGGGAAGAGGATACGAGGCAGAGAAACTGCATTTTTGGCAGGAGCAGCGTTAGCCATGAGCTGGGAGTGAGGAGAACATCAACACTGGGGCACTTGCTGCATGGGGACGGGTCGGGGCAGAGCTGTGATAGGCTCCACACACCACTCACCCCACAGCTTGGCAGGCACTGCCTGTTTTTGGCTGACCCTCTCCTACCTTGAGGAGCAGCGCTGGGCCCTGGTAATGCTCTGGGCAGGGATCAATCCTCCAAAGTGAGAGCAGCAGGTAGAGAGATGTGGGAAGCAGCCCCCTTGCATACTTACCAGCTCCCCCAGTTACTCAGTGAGGGCTCAGCTTCCCATTTTCTTTTACACTTTTTTATAATTATTGTCGCAGCATCACATTTGAACACCCTCATTTTTGTGGAGTTGATGCAAAGATGCTTTATTTCAGAGCAACCCCCCCGAAAAATTATTCCCTAGGAATTTAGAGGAGTGGGCTAAATACACCATTTCCCAATGCCTCACAAACCTGCCGCCTGTCGCTCCACCCCAGTTCCGATCCCTGGAGCCCCCTATTCCCTCTATCTTATGCCATGGATGCACCCAAGCTCTCTGTGCGGCACCCGCCTTGCCCCCACACCCCATGTCCCACCGGCATGCAGCAGTGGGCAGCGTCGGGGTGTTTTTTCCACGCAGGGATGGCGCTCTCAGTGCTGGTGATCCTGCTGCTCTCCATGCTCTATGAAGCCGTCAAGATGGGCAAGGCCGTGCTGCTGCGGAGGGCGCTGCTGGCTCTGCCCCGCAGCCTCAGCCAGGAGGCGCTGGCGGAGCCGGAGGAGGCGAGCACCGGCCCCGTGCAGGGCAGGTACTGTGGGACCCCCTTGGCACCCTGGGGGGGCTTGAGTATGGGTTTGTGGCTACTGGGCCAGCACTAGAGGGGGGAGAAGGCTGTAAAGAGGCAGCCGTGGAGTAACAGGCTCCTGGGAAAGGGGTATGAGTACAGCCTCAGGAGGTGGCCCTGGGGGCATCCCAGCCCCTCCAGGTGCTGTGGGAGATGTCCAGGGTTTTTTTCTGCTGTCTTAAATGCTCCTAGTCCCCCAGGAGCCACCGTGGGTGCAGGAGGGTCCTTGTGGTTCGGGAATGGGGACAAGCAGCAGCTCGGGTGCCCCACCAAGGCTGGCCCAGGTGTTTCCTTCCCAACAGAAGCCATTAGAGCCAAGCCCTGGGGTTTTCCTCTTGTATTTAATGCCAGACCATGCCTGGGGCTGCTCATACTGCCAACCTCTTCATAATATTCTCCTCACTCCTCCAGAGCAGGATTTTCCTCTGCACCGCTGTTTGCAGTGCCCATCCCTCTCCCCGCTCCCCAAACCCATCTCTGGCCACACTGGGGTGCTGGGGTAGGAGATGCCCTCGCTGATGGTTTTCCCATCTTCTCCCACAGCTGGTTTCGGTACCATGTCAGCCAGACGCTGTTCCACGTGGTGCAGGTGGTGCTGGGCTACATGGTGATGCTGGCCGTCATGTCCTACAACGCCTGGATCTTCCTGGGGGCCATCGTGGGCTCCACGCTGGGCTACTTCGTGGTGTACCCCCTGCTGGGTCGGGGCTAGAGACCCTCCCGGGATGGTGGCCAACGTGCTCCACACCTCCTGCTACTCTGTCTGGAATAGCTGCTGTCACTTCTGTCCTTGTCCCCGTGCTGTGCGGGACGCAGCACCCCCAGGACTTGCTGCAGGGACCCTCGGTGCTGGCCTGAGGTGGGGAGGCACTGGGGGAGAGCCCCATGGCCAATGCTTTGCCACGCTGCCATAGTCACCATCCTTGGCCGGTGGCTGTCCCCCAGCTCTCAGGGAATTTTGGCTGGGTGATGATGGCAGAGGGGGTGCTGGGCATTTCCGCCTGCCTTCACTTTTTTGGGGGGTTCATCCTCGCTGGAATGGGAATGGTCCAGTGATGCAGACATGCTGGGGACAGGCACCCCCACCCTCCTGCCCATAGCTGCCCTACACCAAGCCCTTCACACAGTGCCTTTTGGGGGTAACAGGGGTCCTGCTGCCCCCCGTCCCGTACCCTCTCTTCCTGCTCAGTGCTTCAGGGATGGGGTCAGAGCGGCCCCTGAGCCCTCGGCGTGGCCGTGCCGAGGGGAAGCTGCTGCTGCGGATGCCTCTTGCTGCTTCCTCAGGACACCCCTTTTAATAAAATCATCTCACTTGTTCGGATCCTGGCTTGGCTTGGTGCTGGGGGCCTCCGGATGTGACACCCTCTCCCCGGTCACAGCAGGACCGGGATACCCCCCAGGCCCCATCCCTCCAGGAGGATGGTTCAGGAATAAGAATGGACTCTGGCTTTAAATAAAGCTTTTCCATTTTATTAATTATTATAAGCATATTTTAAAACATTTGTATAACTTTCTTAATAAAATATCCTGGAAGAGACAGGTTTTTAAGTTCCCAAAGCAAGGCACTTTGCAGGGGGAGCCTCCCCATGTGGGTTAGGCTGGGCCCCCCACCTTCAGAGGCAGAAACAGCGGCACTTAAAATCCAGGTGGGTGTTGGGGTGCTGGTCCCTGCTCTGTGCACGCACAGGAGTCCTGCCCCCCACCACCACCTCAGGGGCTTTTGGGGACTGCGTGGGTGGGCAGGGCTGCTGGGAGGCATCAGCTCTGCTCGCCCAGCACCGCGGGTGCCAAAACCTGCAGAGCCCAGGGGCTGGAGCAATCCATGCGCTGTGCTGGGGGGGTTCCAGGATCCTCCCCATTGCACAGTGAGATGGAGCCCGCAGGCAGCCCAGTCCTGCCGGGCAAAGCTAAGGGCATCGGGTGAGTGCTGCCTTCCCCTCCAAGTTTTTAGTCTGAACTTAAGTAGCTGCTAGACCACAGGGCGAGGGTGGCCAGGGGTAGGCACTGGGTGCCATGAGCCCATCCTGGTTGCTGTTAAGCCCAGCCTGGGTGCTGTAAGTGCAGCCTGGAGGCTGCGAGCCCAGCCCTGCCCCAGCTCTCGTCCCATCAGCAGTGGTTTGAGCCACCCAGTGTTGCTGTACCCCTGCCATGACCTGGCCGCCATCATCCTCAGTGCTCCCTGCTCCCATCGGCACTGTGGGCAGGATCCCAGGAAACCTCCCCCTGACTTGGGGGCAGGGGATGCCCTCCGGGACAGCCAGGAGCATCCTGGACACCTACCCCCCAGCAGGGGTAGTGCCAGCCCCCCCGGCAGCCCCAGGTACTTGTGCTGAGGGGGCAGATAAAGCATCTCTTCAGTAGAAAAGAAGGAAATAAGGCAGAAGAAGGACAGAGCAGAGTGCAGGGGGTGCCCCGTGCCAGGCTGGGAGCATCTCCCAGTCCAACCCAGTAGGACCATTTGGCTGTGGCCAGCCTGGCACAGCAGCAGGGACCCTCCCGGATAGGCAATAAGGTCTCGGTGTTTCCCATCCCCTCCCTCTCCCGTGGTGCTGCTCTCCATCCCTGGCAGTGGAGCAGGTCCTATTCCCCCTACCCCAACCCCCAGAGCCACCAGGGCCAGTCCATAATGGGGGAACTGGGGCTAGAACTCAGTCTGCACCCCCTCACTGCTCTCCGTCGTGATTGTGGACTGCGGGGTGCTGCACTCGCTGCCCAGGGGGGCCAGCTCCTCACCCGTCTCCTTGTCACTGGGCTGGTGACAAGCTGGTGATGGGGTCTCAGCTCTGGGTGCAGGTGATGCTGGTGTGGCATGGGTCTCCGTGGCCTCTGATGGGACATCAGCTCTGGGTTTGGGAGATGGTGTCGCCGTGTGGTGCACCCCAGCCCCTGATGGGACATCAGCTCTGGGTTTAGGAGATGGTGGCATGGTGTGGTGCACCCCAGCCCCTGATGGGATATCAGCTCCAGGTGCTGGTGATGCTGGTGTGGCATGTTGCATGCCAACCCCTGATGGGACATCAGCTCTGGGTTTAGGAGATGGTGGCATGGTGTGGTGCACCCCAGCGCCTGCTGGGACATCAGCTCCAGGGACGGGTGATGCTGGTGCAGGACTTTGCATGCTGGTCGCTGCTGGGACATCAGCTCTGGGTTTGGGTGATGCTGGTGTGGTGTGGTGCACCCCAGGCCCTGCTGGGACCTCAGCTCCAGGCACAGGTGATGCTGCTGTGACACAGTGCACCTCGTCCCCCTCGCTGGCCGGACCCTGGGAGGGGACATCACCTGGAACAGACCCTGCCGCCACCTCGGTGGCACCGCTCTCCCGCGTGGTGTCAGTACCGTTTGTCAGCCTCTCCTCCACCTTGACGCCGTCCCCAAGGCTCTCCTTTGCCAGTGCCTCTCGGATCTTCTCCACCCCATCCGGGCAGCTCGGTGTCACCCCAGGGTCCGGCTCTTCTGGCTCCCGCGGCTCTGGGGAGCTGGGCTGCAGCAGCGCCTCAGTGGCCACCTCGTAGGGCAGGACCCCCTCATCATCTTGGATCACCGACACCACTTGCTTGGCCCTGCGGCGCTTGTCGGGGGCCGGCTCGGCCTCGGGCTGCCCGCTGTACTCCTCGCCCCAGTCAATGGGGATGCCCTCGCCCAGGAGGTGCAGGTTGGGATCGCTGTTGTGCATGACCATGCTGTCACGGTACAGGTTGTGCTTCCGCTGCACGGCTGCCTCCTTCACAGCTGGGGACACCAAGGGAGGCGTGAGAGGCACCGCCCACTGGGCTAAGGCACCCCTCTCAGTCCTCCCTCTGGGTGTAGGGTGTGGGGAAAGGTGTCTGGAGCCAGACAAGGAGGGCTCAGCATCCCACCCACTGCTCAGCCCTGCCAGGTGGGAAAGGTGCTCCTCGGACAGCCCCCAGTACCCTGCACAGGGTCACCCCTCCTCATACAGCGCCCAGCATCCTGCTTGGGGTCACTCCTCCTCATAAAGCCCCCCGTTCAGAGTCACCCCTCCTTGCACAGTCCTCAGCATGCTGCACAGGGTCACCCCCCACCTTGGAGAGCCCTCAGCACCCTACTCAGGGTTGTTCCTCCTCAAACAGCCCCTAGCACCCTGCGTGAAGTCTCCTCTCCTCATACAAACCCCAGCACCCTGCACAGAGTCGTCATCCCCCATACAGCTCCCAGCACCCCACACAGCAGCACCCCCTCCTCATATAGCACCCTACTCAGGGTCAACCCCCTCCTCCTCCCATTCCCCAGCACCCATCACAGTCCCTCCAGGTGCTGCTAACCCCAAGCTCATCTTACACTGAGTCCACCTAGCACCCACCCCAGGGTGCTGGAGCCTCACCAGGGTTCAGAGCTGAGTGGGACCAGGCTCCCCAGCACCACAGAATCCTACCTTGCATGATGTCTTTCATCACCGACTGCAGCACCACCTCCTCGTATGTGTTCTCCACCAGGATGAAGCTGGCAAAGTCCTCGAAGATCAGCTCCTGGTACTTGGCTAACTCCTGCCGTGGGGGAGAGGCTCAGCTGAGGGGGCCAGGAAGCAGGGATGCTCCAACCCCTCTGCAGGGTAGGGTGGTCCTCCCCGCCCCGTCCCTGCTCCCCACCCCAAACTTCACCCTCTTACCCCCTTGCAGGTGGGCGCC